TTTTTTTTTTTTTTTTTTTTTTTGGGGGGGGGGGGTGTGATTCTTGGCTTGCAAGTTAATAGCATGAGGTGTTGCTCAAAAAATTTAGCAGGAAAGTTGGCCTAAAAATTTCAATTAGAAAAATCACCTATGGATGAACCATGTTTCCCTGTTATAATGTATGTATAAAAGGGGTTGAATTTTTTATGAACAATATCTCACTATTGTAATGTGTCGAAAGGTTTATTTTTTTAACAAAAACAGCTATACTAAGTACAGATGTACTAAGTTCCACTTGGAATGGTATATTTAAGTCTATCTACTACCATACAAAAATCCACGAACATTTGATGTCAGTTTTAATATTTTGGTTGTAGAAAATATTGACATTGGCTGTCAAGTTTTGAGTGAAAGTAATTTATTTTTCAATGAGAAAAGACAAAGCTCAAATATAGTTCAGTATTAATGCAGTCTTGCAGTAATTTGGAACCAATTATTACAAGTAAATGAAATAAGGAAATTTGATAGGATTTAATGGTATCTAAAAGGCAAAAGAAAGATTTCCTAGTAATTTCTCCTCAATAATGTTTATGAAATTTCATGTAAATATTCTGAAAGGCTTGCTTAAGAAAGCAAAACTCAGTCAAGTTTTCGTGTGGACTTACAATCATGTGGAGGTAGCACTCTAATAGTAGCACGTAACTCCTGAATAGCTGGTGGTGGAGGAGAAGCAGTTGGGCGACAGTAGCCTGTGTGCATAAGAACTGTAAAAAAACAAAGGGTGTTAATCATTGCATACAACCAAGCTCTACGATTCAAGGACTATAGATAAATTCCACAATCTTACTCATAAAATCACGTACCAGCAACAAGATCTGAGTCATTAGTGTATATATCTGTTCCCCACAGTTGGCCACCTCTAACCTGCAGTGTGAAGTGATCATTATACTCAAACTGCACGTACAGCATTATACAAGAAGAAAGTTGCAACCTCAAGGAAAAAATGAGAACAAAACAAAATAGACACACACACAAACAAACACACACACAGGAGCAAAATAAAGTTTGAACACTAACACATTTAATTCTGATTTGTTTTCTCTTCTTTTGTGGGTGCAAGGATCAAATTTGTATTGTAATATCCCCTACAATCCATTTGATTCTTTTCTCCTCTCCTGTTGTTGAGAGGATTGATATTTGTAAAGTAACCAAATGATAGATCCCCGACTGTTCACTTATCTATGCATATTAATAAAACAAAAATAAATATAAAACCACCAAGAAAGGGGGTCCTTTACTGGCTAATTATGTGTAGGCTTACTAACTATGCGTATGCACACATACGCATAAAACACCCATCAGACAAATAGACTTTGTACACCAAAAACAAAAAGACAAAAAAGAAAAATCCAACCATCATCAAAATTCATGGGTTTAAAATAGCTTTCCACCCCCTCAAAATCAACCTCTCTACAGGCACCTTGTCAAAAAAATAATTGCCAGCTATGAAACACGGATACGGATACGGTGATACGACAAAATCTAAAAAAAATGATATAGGTACAGCTAGGATACGTCCATAAAATATATATTTTTTAAACTTTTATTATTATATTTAATGTACTAATTATGATTTATAGAGTAAATCACACATCTATCAAAGATATATAATAGTAACTAACCATTCTATCATTCATAAATCATACATTCTATATCACATACATATTGCATAATATCAAGTCCATGCTTAAAAAAAAGAAACCATCCGATTACAAGTCCAGCAACAAAACAGTCTCCTCTTGTTACTAAGACGTTTCCCTAATATTATCTTCATTTATATCCCCTCCATCTTGGAATAACATAACTTCCATCTCTAGCTCATCAAGTGAAAGACTTACAACTTCAAGCAACCCAGCACCATCCAATGCATCTCCACCAATGTCCCATAGTTTCGTATCTCCTTCCATGTATTGTTTACTACTCCTCGATAAGAGACAGATATTGTTGTGTACAAAAACCAAATCTTGGACATGAAATGGTGTCATTTTATTCCTTTTCATGGAATTAATGAAAGAGTAAGTACTCCAATTTCTTTCCTTGCAAGATGAGAAATAAGGTTGGCTAAGTAATTTCAATGCTAAAGATTGAAACATTGGTGCAAGAGATCCATGAGAAAACCACCACATAAGAGGGTCCATTAATCCTCGATATTTTCTTGAGTCGTGCTCTCCAAATTGATCCAAACAACCAGAGAATTTAGCATACTCAGTATTAGCCTTCATTCTCTCTTCTGGATTTGGGAAGTATCTGTGAAAGCATTTATTTCTCATAGATAAAATCTCTTCGTCCTTGTGAAGAAAAACACGATTGGGATTTTCATTTAGCCACTGTGCACTATAATACCTATATTATAAAATTAGAAGATATCAAAACCACCTTGATAAAAAAAAAATACTTTTAAGAGTAACAACTAAAAAGACAATTGTCGCCTTGTGGATTTAAGGAATGTGCAAGACAATGGAGAGGTGTGTTACTTTTAACCCATCTCTCAACTAGAACTTGATGTACCACATCATAAAAGATTGACCTCGCATTATCTGGCTTCCCTTCATGCCTATATATAACTGTCTTCACCCTTTCAATCATTGTGTCCCACATTTCTTAAACCAAATGAAGACATGGTATGTCTGTATCGCAAACCCTCAACATCTCATAAATAAACAATGTGAAAGAAAGTATATAATCTATCTTATCCCACCATATGTCCCTCAAGATGTTTTCCTTCACAAATGTCGCTTTCACAACATCATTTTTTTTGTAAGAAGACCTTTTCTCACTAATCACTATTGGTTGAAGACCACGCTTGATGAGTTTAAATCTTTTCATTATTACAATAGCAGATGCAAAACGAGTGTCTGCAACAAAAAGCAACTTTAAAGGCACAAACTCATTAAAGATAAACAACCTCAAAAAATGATTCATGATGAAATCTTTGATAGTTACTAAATCTCCAACAACTTCTGTAATCTTCTCAAGATTTTTTGTTGAACAAATATTCTTAAGGGCAAGATTCAATGTGTGCACTACACATGGGGTCCAGAAGATATGTTGGAACTCATTTTGAATGATTAATCCAGTAGAAGAACAAACAGGAGCATTATCAATAATTACTTGAACCACGTTTTGAGATCCAACTTCTATAATTACTTGATTGATTAAATTCACAATAAAAAACTTATCTTTGATCTCACCCTCGCAGTTAATCGCTTTCAAGAGCATTGTCCCAGATTCTGATGCAGCCATGAAATTGATAAAAGGACTTCTTTGTGAATCAGTCCACCCATCTATAACAATGCTCACTCCCTTTTTCTTCCATGACAATTTAGTTGGCTCCAACAACCTTTCTACATGTGCCATTTCCTTTTAAAGTAGTGTGATTCTCAATGCATTGTAACCAGGTGGTACATAACCAATAATCAAATTAGTGGTAGCAAATGTATAAGAACTTACATAATGTGGGTTCCTAGCTAAATGAAAAGACAAGCCACCTGAATAAAACATTCGTGCAATATGAGAGTGCAACTCTTCCCGAGCACCCAAGTTAAAAGCTTTCTCCAAAATACTATTTCTAGTCGCCTTCTTTTTTCTTGGCTCAAAACCTTCCATTCTAAGTGTTCCAGTTTTTGATATCCCCATACTCCTAGTTATAGGGGCCTGGAAAGAGGAAGGTGGCAAAGGAACTGTCTTTGGCATAGTCATTTTCACCCTATTCTCTGCTTCTTCAATTACCCTTTGCATCTCAACAAGATTTTAGAGTCATTTTAGAGCACACTTTAATTCCATGACCAGAAATTGTCAATAAATGTGCCTCAACACAAAAATATGATCCACTGTACTCATTCTGACAAAAATTGCATTAGAATTTAGTATTTTCACCTCCTTCCCCCTTTTTTTCTACTTAGTAACATAATCCCAAAGAGGAGCATTATTATCTTGAGTGGTGTTGCCACTTCCACTTCCACCAATTAAGCCCATACTTTTCGTACCCGTACTCATTCTCCTATAATTATTAATTTAATAAAACGAATCAACAGTGCAATAAAATTTAGTAGCAGTAAGATCCAAGGACATCCATCTTATTGTGGATCTAATTTTTTGAACCAGGCATTATGTATACAGAAACTTGGAATCAGTTCCTGGAGGAACTAATTATGTTAATCCAGGCAGTATCAACTCAAGTGGTCAGTTTGGCCCGAGCATCTATAATTGCAATGCAAAAAAACCTAATTCAAGGCCACCAAAAAAACATACTAGTTCAACAGTAGTATATCTGTATATATATAGTTTGTTCTCCAAATTGCTCCCAAAAAAAAACACTAATTGCAAACCCTAATTCAAGGCCCCCAAAAAAAATTCTTAATTGTAAACCATAATTCAAGGCTCCAAAGGAGTGCTAATCACTGGTAAAAGGCAAAAGAGACGATAGAGAGATAGAAAAATAGAGAGAGAGGAGAGAGCTTATCCGATATACTTGGCCACAGAGAGATAAGATGTTTTCTGTCGTTGAGAGATGCTGTCGAGGTCAAATAAAGGTCGTTGGAGGTGAAAGAATAGATATCCATCATCGATCGACGTCAAATACAAGTCGTTGGTGAGTGTGAGAGAAAAAGACAGTCAGTCGATCGTTGACTAATGGGGGTTGTCGAATAAGAGAAGTTACGATTTTATAATTTTTTATTTTGCAAATAAGGGTCCAAACATATTTGCTCTTGTACTCCTACACTGTTTAAAAAATTCAAGTAATACCCCGTTGCATCCTTATGCGTATCCTAAGTGTATCCCATTCGTATCCAAAGCATATCCAACCGTATCCAAAAATCAAATTTATTTTTTTAATTTTATGATACTTCACAACCGTATCAAATACGTATCCAGCCGTATCGGACGCGTATCCGTATCCGGGAAGTATCCGATACCAATACTTTGACCCTTTTGAAGTATCCGTGCTTCATAGATTGCCACCCATATCTTCCTACTTCTTCTCCACGCCCTCAAAACCAATTTCTCTTCACACTCCCATAAGGAAGAAATGGGAGTCCAACAATACAAACCCAAAGATTGGAAACCAAATCTACCTAGAAGCTTAAGCTTATATGAGTATTCATAGTAATATTAAGGTCCCTTCATTTTGTACTCCTTATCAAAGGATTCCCATATATGACATCTAAATGATATCTTCCTTACATGAGGACCACATCAAGCTTTTAACTCTCCCTTGAATCCAATCTATCACTCTCTTGTGGGAACCAAGCTTTTTACTGGTCTTCATAAGTTATTGCATTACAACTCTATCCTACTCTAATGAAAGTCCACCACCTCATCAAGAGCCCTATGTTCAATAACACATGTACGGCATCCCAATAGTCAAGTCATCGCCACTCCATCGAGAGTTCACCATGGATGATTGTTCCATCATCTATAACTCTGTTAGAACATTCAATCCAAAACCAATTGGCAATGAGTAGAATGACCCGTCAAATAACACAAACCAATCTTGAGTAATTCTAATCATTCAATTAGGGATACAAGATCTCTTTACACCCTCCCTCACGTGGGATCCAAGCTCGCATGTTGGGATAAACAATCAAACAAACAACCATACATATAGAAAAATTCAAATAGGTAACAGATTTGACCCACTAACTACCCAAGGCACAGCTTTGATATCTCATTAGATAATCCAACCCAAAACTAATTGGTAATGAATGGGGTGACCCCTCAAGTATATAAACTAATCTTGAGTGGTCCTAATCATTCCATATGAAATATAAATCTTTTTATATACTTGTACTCCAAGAGGCCGTCACTATTCCTAATAATCATTATTGATAGCAGCATGCCACACCACGACTAGGATAGTTCACCCAAGGTCATTAATCGTCGACTTTAATACCACTTGCTCAAGAGGAACTGGATCCAACAAAATACAAGCATAACACACATGCTTGGAACTCAATTCCACCCAAAGCTTAAGCTTATAGCTAAAAAGATTGTGCTCATTCATAGTAAATTAAGGTCTTCTTATTTTTTCTTTCCATGTGGAATCTGCACATATGGTATCTCAACAAAAGCTACTATCCAAATAAATCAAAAAGCTCATTTTCTTCTGGGTTTCCATATATATTGATAAAAAAACCACCATGGGAATGGAACCCCTCCTTGACTAATGGGAAAGCCAAAAACTTTCACCTTTCATTCTTCCTCACCTTCTAACCATCCTGCTCTCTTCTGCTTAAATAACTCATATAGACATCATTTATTTTTTTGATAAGAAATAACTTTTATTAATTACTAGTTACAAAGGTAATCAAAAACATGGTTGCAACTAAAAAACCATACTACAGTCCAACTCGCAATTATGCAAAACATAGAAACATTGTTGAACTCCTTCGACACTGAGGCCCAAAAAGATGTCAAGAAATAGATTATATCCCATAAACCTTCGTCATCCTCGCATTTATCTTCAAAAATCCTTGCAAAGGATCATCTCTCTATTAAATCCTTCAATACCCAAATCATCCAAACGAAGCATAATAGATGATATAGACCTTAGTTCCACCCAAGACAAACCCACAAACCATGTAATTTGTTGCATTACAATCGCAAGATAGGACAATGCAAAAAAAAAAAATGATTCAAACTCTCAGTATCTCCTTTATTAGGTATTTGTCTTTAAAGTACATCATCAATATTTATCCTACCATGAGTGCTAGTCCATGCACAAAATCTCACATTAAAGGCACTTTGGCTTTACAAATCTTCAATTATTGGCGGAAAAGTGGAAGAGATGAATGATCAATTAAGGATGCAATCCAAGATTAGTATGAAAAGAACATCCGTTGAGTCAATAACCCAACATCAGTCCCATCTATTCCTCTATGACGTCGAACTTCGCCCTTTAACTAACCACATCTACTACCAAAGCTTCTCAATCGACCACAATTGAATATAAATTTGCATACTCCTTTAGCACCACATGCCACACTGCTTTCCACTGTGTGATTCTACCATTTCTCAATGCATCCAACTAATTTCAATAGAACCTCCACCCCCTTAAAACTTTCTTTATAAATGTCCACACCCCAACCTCCCCACTATTCATCCTTCCCCTCTCTATCGTCTTTCTTTCCCCTCCACCACATAATTGCCACCCACTCGTGGAATCTCAGGAATTAAGGTACTTTTTTTTTTTTTTTGGAATAACATATTTATGATATTGTTGCTTTGATTCTTATGATTTTTTATTTTCCATGTAATGATTTGGTTGGACTGATTGTTCACCTTCACTGATGGAACATAATATATAACCTCTGAAATAGTTTTTACTATAAAAAAAACATATTTATGATATGCTACCATAATCAAAATTGTTTGCAGTAAAGTATCCACTAGATCACTGTTTCCCATTTTTGAAACATTGATAAAATAAAGCCAGATGATAACTTTACCTGCCACATCAGTGAAAGTGCAGTAGGAGTAACATTACCAGTTAAAGCAGTAATGGTCATTCTAGAACCAAATGCCATGAAAGGATCTTCATGATCACAAAAATCTACAACAAACTCAAGGCCAAAATAGGAGTTCCTATCTATTAAAGGACAATTGTTGATTTAGTATATGACCAGAAATTCTGTTAAAAGATAGACCCTAAATCACCGACATAAAATCAGAAATAATTCGAATATGCTGCTCGCAGCCCCAAGCAGGCACAAAACCACAGAATAGCGGCAGCTGATATAGAAACAGATTAATATGACTAAAAAAACCTGAACCAGTTTCTAGCTTCAAAATCCTGACAAAATATATTCAGATCTATCACTTGTAGAGATTGACATAAGCACAAGTTTACATTAAACAAATGCCAACACAGTATGTGCAATTGTGCCTACAAAATACGAGAAGGAAAACAAGGAACCAGACATCTCATTACTCTAAGAAGAAAAAGAAAGAACTTATCAGTAAACAGAAAAAAGGGAAAGTGATGCCGGGAGGAAAGGCAAGAAAGAAGAGAAGTGGATTACCAAATCCTAGCAAAAATTAGGTCAAGAAACACGATTCTCTACAAAGAATAATCACATTAAATTCATACTCATTCTAATTATAGGGAATACAAAATTATTCATAGATCAAGTCTCCTACCAAATTGAATACTACTCTTCTTTTAAAACTTATTAATAGGGGTTATACAATAATTTAAAGACCAAGTTTCCTACAAAAAATGAAAAACAAATCAAAATAACAAAATAAATATAATCCTGATCTTCAATTTTTTGCTTAGAGAATCCTCCTACTGGTATGTTTATAGACCCGCAATCTAATGGGGATTGGTATTTTGTTCAGGTAACTGATCAAAAGATTTTAGAAGAAAACTAATCGGGTTGAGACAATCAGGTCCAAAACAAAAACCCAGAACTTAAGTTGTCTTCTTCGCAGCTCGGTCTAAATTTTTAAATCCAAACTTCAGCTGCAACGAAAGGATGACCAATGAAGATTCCGGCAGCGATGAAAGGAAACAATTGCACAAGCAATGGATGCAAATAACGGCGATGATGGGTTGGTCGGGGGTGTGCAACACTGCACAACAGTGGTACTGAGACTGGAAGCATGAAATTCTGTTTTCACACTCAATAGATTCAACTACTGGCCAGATTATTTCTTGAAAGTTGAAACCAACAATCTGTAGTTGACAGGAACACAATGGTTATCAATTTAATCCAGTGGCTTGATGAACAGTGACAAAAATAAAAAAAAAATATGTGGTCACCGAGACTAAAAGAGAGGATGTTGGGGAACAGAAAAGGGGGACTTGACACACAGCAGCATCAGCAGGAAATTGATGGAGATAGTAGAAAGTCGGATACGAAATTAGGTTCTGATACCACTTGCAACTCCCTGAACTAAAAATTTCTAAAATTAAACTATAGCTACAAGTCTGAACAAAGAAAATTTTTTGGCAGTAAGAATACCACAACCCCATTCCCAGGGTCCAAATAAGAGAACTTGGAAGAGTTTGTCATCCAGTTGATTTTAAATTTTCATATTCCAACATGATTTCTTAAGCATGGAGCAAAGCCAGAAATGATAAATGAAAGGACGGCAAAGACCTCAACACTCAACGGTGATCTGTAAATTAGGTAAACAACCTACAGGTCACAAATGATATTACCTGTACAACACAAAGCAAGCATAAGCCCTGACATGTAGAGAGGAAATTTTTCCCATTCTGTGAAAGAGTATAAGACAATAAAGAAAGCTAGAGAAACCGAGGCACTCTCGTTCAACCTCTCTATTCTTATTCCCTTCTTCCCCTCTTTTTCTTGTCCACCATTGCTTTATTGATCATGTACCTAATGAATGATAAGGAAGGAGAAAACCCCTTTCAATTGTCTCCCATTGTGCCTCAGTCGTCATATGCAAGTGCATTTATCCCATATAACAGTTCTAACCAATGCATACCAGGATATGCTAAAGGATAGGTAACAAATCACAATATCACTGAGAGCCTCAGTCGAAAGCAAGTCTTGCTAACAAGATTTCCAGTTTCCAAAAAATATAAGGATACCTGATGTTGCATCAGTTCTGAATTCTCTCCTGAGACAGGGCGACAATTAGGCCAAAATACAATAGGAATAAATTGAAAGCAATCTTACAGCAAAGTAGCTCTGGCTACTAAGAGAGCAAGGCAACTTCTTCCCATATACAAGCATTGCTACATCATGGCATACTACACACATATTGACTTCTTCTTGAATATGGATATTCTTTATTTTACGGAACTTGTTCAAAACTATCATGTAATTGGTGCGGAAGTAAGCAAACAAAGACTTTATCATTAACATAGAAAAGGTAATTAATATACTTTAATCGTACTTGGCGATTTGTAGCAGTTACGTGCTCAGCAGGTATCCGAATTTCTATTGTAGGGCCATTCTGAGAGCTTTCACAAATTTTATCAGCTTGAGATGATTCATATTCCCTCCACAATTTTATCAGTTCTTGCATGCATTCACCAACTCTATAGACAACAGAGGATGCATCAGGCTTACCTGAGACAAATACACCAGATACATTCATTATAATAAGCATACAAACAAAATCATGCAACAGTTAAACCCCATGATGTCCCTATTTTAGCAAGTCCATCACAGCACCGATGAGTTTCCTCTAAACTACATTGTTCAAAATGAGAAAAATTATGTGCTACAACCTTTATGGAATATAGAAGTGGGGAGAAATGCCAATTTCGCACCTTTTTTGTGATCATCAACTCAAAATTCCCCTCAATAATTGAAAAGCATCACACACAAGACAAGAAATTCACCACTTAGGGAAAAATAAAGAAAGAAAAGATAAACATAAGTAAAATTCACATCCAGAAACAAGGAAGATAACAGTGAAAAATGGATATGGCGCTTTCTTCTTAATCCCTTGTAAGTATTCCTATGGCACAAGATAATAGAATCTCCCACAAAGTTTTCATCTAACCCTTCATTCGGAGTTTTTACTTTTAAATCCTTCTCTGATGTGTTGATTGATGACCCTACTCTATCACATTTTGGCCCCTTATAAGATGATTTGGAAAACAAAAGTGCTCCTTAAATTTCAAGTTTGCTCTTGGACATGTGTTGAAGGAAAGCTTAATAAGAATGATTTGCTTCAACGGAGATGGCCTCAGCTCGCTTTGCACCCCCAGTGGTGCATTATGTGTAAGAATAATGTGGAGAGTATTAGTTATCTTTTTCTCCATTGTAATAGCCTTGTTGCATACTTTGAAAGTTTGGGTTCCTCCTCCCTCAAGTATGGCCATGTTTGAGATTGAACTCGGGCGGCCTTCGAAAAAGTAAAAGAGCTCGGGTTTTATGGAAATGAATGGTAATCGCAATATTTTTGCTATTATGGTTAGAAAGGAATTAAATATTCTTTGAAGACATATGCAAAGAAGAGATTTGTTTATGGGGGATAACATTTTTGGACATCCACTTAGGCTTCGATGTCTCCTCATTTTGCATGAATTCCTTTATTTTGATAAGGACGGCATGGAAATCTATATGAAATTGCAACTATATTTTCTTTTCTTGTCTTTATTTTTAATACTTTGATGGACTACTCGTCCTTCTTGTAACATTTCTATTATTAGTGAAATCTTTTTGTTGTTCCAAAAAAAAGGTTCTAGGGTTTGGGAGGAATAAAAAAGTTAAGGCCCTTTGGAATTTTGCTTTAATAGCAATTCTTTGGTACTTTAGTTAGATCGAAATGCAACAATATTCGATTATCACCCTCTTCCATTAGAATTAATGTGGGAAAGAATAGTGTTCCTCACTTATTTATGCATACGGCCACAGGAATTTAAAAGGGATGCCTTCGTTGGACTAAATAACAGAATGGGAACCAGTTCTTTTAAGAATTACAGTATTTTTCTCTTTTTTGAGATTATCTTGCCACCAATATTATACTTCTTCTCTTACATTTTTTTTCTTCTGAACAAATTTTACTGCTCCACTTCTCTCACTTCTTCACCTTAATCATATTCTTCTTTTGTCAAAAACAAAAAACATTGGCCTAACAAGGGCATATCACTGTACAATATCAAGGAAGATACAAATGTGTTAAAGATAAAACATAACCAATGCTTGAAGACAAACCACTCCCTAGTTATGCACTCCTTCCTCTATAATCGTAGAATGGTTTAGCAATGCGTTTAAATTACAAAGGAAATTGGGATAGGATATAAAAGAAAGGACCTTAGTAAAAGCCCAACGCATGCAACAAGATTACCATCTAATCAGGTTAGGATTGAAAGACTTAAAAAAAAAATAATGAAGCACATACATGGATATGGGATACACGTTCAACGCAATGCAACCAATTCTTAAAATGAGGTACTGACACGCAACAACTAATTGTTTTTTATAATGCAAGGAAATCAATATTTAATGAGAAGTGAATCTCATTCTACCGCTCTGACATGAAAATTTAGACAAATCACCCATTTCAAAGGACAAATCTAACATGCACCAAGATTAAAATTTTGTTTCAAAGCAATGAAATAGAAACGTTTCCGTTTCCAAGGAATGCGAAACGAATAAATGATAAAATCGAAATTCTAATACTTCAAGGTTTTCTATACTGTTTTGAGGTGTTTTGTAATGTTTCAAAACATTTAGATAATTATTACAAAATGTTTCAAGATGCTTTTGGTATATTTCCAACAATGTTTTAGAAAAATAATTCTCAAATTTTTTATTCGTTTCCATTTTGTTTTCGAAATAGGTCAAAATATTTTCAGAACGGATCAAAATGTTTATGTTTCCAAGGTAACCAAAATAATGCCCTGAAACAAAATTTTAATTCTTGAGCAAGCATACATAATTATGGTCACTCCATCTTCCCAAGCCCTTTTCTTTCATAAACTTTTCGTGTCTTCTACTTTTCAGTAAAATTTCACTAAAACTCTAATATGAATAGTTTTAACAATCAATTTTTCATGGTATAAGAATCTTATACAAAATTGCTAAACTTTGTTCACAGCATACAACAATTGTCCAAACTGTCCTATCACGTATAACATTTTCAGGCACGGACACAACCTAAGAATTGGGCACATTGCCAAGGGAGTGTCAAACACATCTCCAAAATTAATAGTTGTGTCTCGACTCTTGACATAACCTAAGAAGGGTTGAGCACATTGCCAAGGTAGTGTCGGACACATCTCCATAATTAAGATTATAATTTTTCAACTATGGACACGGCTGACGGAGTATCGGGCAGCTGTGCGAGAAGCGTCGGCATCGAACTAAGACACATTGCCTGCTTAGGAGTGCCCATTCTTCTTGGAGGGAGGGTATAATTTTCACCCTTTACTAATTAAATTCAACAGTACGTCCAAAACAACAAATGCAATTATAACAGGAAAAAAAAAATAGTGCAACAGATAGATCTACGCAAGCTTAAGTAATTTCTATTTGAGAGCAAATAAAAAAGGCTATTTCCATCACGAATAACTTCCTGTTAATCATAGGTCCAATGTAAAAGCCCACTAATAAGTTGATTTAACAGCTTACCTTGGGACCTGCGAAAAAAAGAAAACAGAAAACGGGTCATTAGAATGCCTTCAAACTTAACATGAACAAGACATCAATCGAATACACATGAACCGATGAAAATTTAGCCAAATGTGAAAAAACAGCAAATCCCCCTTTTTGCTCGAATAAAACACTGTTACACTTGTAGGAAAGGTTCCACAAATCCGAGTTTCCAAAATCTCTTGCTTCCAAAGTTAAAGTCCGAGTCCTATCAGAGTTAGGAGTACCTAGAAAGCTATGCAAGTCATAATTTTTTCACATAAATGATAATAGCCACTATGGATGCAGTAAAGTTTAGAATTGTGATTATAGCGACTATGCTTTTTGAAGAATTGAGGTCATGCAATTTTAAGCCTAGGTGTGTTTCTACGAAAATCAAAGTTTTCTTCCATCACTTCTTCCGCAAGATTTTTTCCAAAATTCAAGAGAATGGTAAGAAATTCAAGCAAGATTTTTTTCCTGATTCAAGGCAATAAACACTTCCAAAACTCGGCCATTTCCAACCCCCACGCATCCATAAAGTCTACATCCTTTATTCCATATACTAAAGCCCTAAATCTCCAATATCTCGATAAATTTAAGCTACTATGTAACAATCACAAGAGTCACCTAAATTTTGGAGTTTATCACATTATAGAAAGTTAAAGTGCTCCTTTCACTACAACACCAAACCTAAGGTGTCAAAGAACGCCAGTAATGGTCTTTATACCACACAATTGCACGCATGCAGATATCAAATCTTAGGGTGACACATAAATCATATGTTTAGATGTCAGTAAAAAGATCCGAACCCTGGAATCAACTTCATAGTACCATTACACATCTAGTACCATTACAATTAATAAACTCATGATGATTTTGAGATTCAACTTACTTCAAAGACGTATAATATGAAAATCCAAAGTTTTATATGCCACAAATAAATTGGAAAGTATACTTTAAAACCTATAATAAACAGGACAGACACGGACTTGGGACATGGTCACACCGACACGAAAAATATTTAAAATGTAGGTACACTGATAGGTCCAAGGCACGGTAATAAATAGATACACTATAACATATAATGTATTCATTTTGCCTATATCTATGTATAAAGTTATATAATATATGGAGTTTGTGCAATACGAAATCTTTCATTTATAACTCATAATAATCAGTAATCACCTATGTCGTACTAAAAATGTATACCATAAATACATAATTATGATGACTCATATGGTCTTTCCACACCCCTCCTTTGACTAAATATCTATATATCTTGGCTTCACTTTTACATTAAAACTAGCAAAAAGTTGTTAATGAATTTTTATAGGGCTTTAATTATAAGTTTATAACTCATAATTTTACAGTTGTTCATGCTATTAAAAAGTCATTTTTAACATCCTAATTCTTGCATCCAATAAATGTCAAGCACGTTTGCAAAATTTTAATTTTAATTTTAAAATTGGACACAACCAAATAGGACTCATAGATGTGTCCGAGATGTGCTTGTACCCACCACCTCTCTAAAACGGGCATGTGGCTTTAATAAAGTGTGTGTGCTTCTTAGATATGAGTCATTTGATGCATTTAGCGATTTTTCCTTTAAAAGTCAAGTTCGGGTGAGAGGGGGGGGGGGGGGGGGGGNTATCATGGTGGTCACTAACCCACTAGCTCAATCACCAATTTTCTTTTACTCGCCCTCTATATTTGGGTCTAATGGACTTATAAAAACTTGCTTTCGTTTTGTTGTAGTTGCCATCTCTGAGATTGTTCTTGCTTTAGAGAAGGATTGCTTGAGCCTCTTGTTTTGATTTTCCAGCAAGTTCCTGAGGAGGTTGAAAGGGTTATGGTTGGAACAGAATCTTTTTTTTTTGCTCTATAGTTGCTGATTGCTTTCTAGAAAGCTTGAATTTTTTTTTTCTTTTGTGATGTATTGCTGATTTTTTGATTAACTCTATTTGTGCTGTATTGTTGATTACTCTTAGCAAATCTTTTGTGATCTGCTAATATTGAGATTTAAAGACCCTAGAAAGCCTTAGAATCTCAAAATAGGAGACTCCCCAAAATAATCTCAAAACCAATAATAGTATCATGTAACTGAGACCCAGTAGAATACCCTCCAAAGTTGCTGATTTTTTTGCTCTCTGTAGTTGCTGTTTTTTTTTTTCTCTATATTCTTGCTGATTTTTTTTTGCTCTCTCTATATCTGCTGAGTTGTTGATTTTTTGTGTGTATGTTAGATCCATGATTTCTATCATTTGCATTGGAAAATTATTATGGTTGTCTGTGGATGTAGATGACCAACGTGAATGTCAATCAGAACCTGGATAATACTGATGTTATGGAAATTGAACCAACCAAAGTTGATCAACAGTGGTGTTATTAGTATTAATATAACTATGAAGTATGAGATACTTATGTGGAATATTTGAAAATCATGGGATATATTTTTAGTATGTTTAAAAACTATTAGATGATCAGTTATGGATTGTTGTTCTAACTTTTTAATAGCATGGAATTATATTAATGTATACAAACTAGTCCAAAAAAAAAAGTGTTACAATCCAACGAGTTTTGTGTTTTTGTTTTCAAATTTTTTTACAACTATAAAAGCAACCAAAACACGTTTTCTGTTTTCATTTTTGCCTACAAAAAATCTAAAACTGATTATGTTTTTTATTTTAAAAAAAAACCAAAATTGTAAACGTTTATTAATTAATTTCATAAAATTGAATGTTTATCAAATAAAATTGAATGACTAGTATGTCTGTGTGTTCATGTGTCTGTAAGAATGGGTATAAATACGTAAAAAAGGGTATCTTTAAAGGGCAAATTGGTAAAAGTGTTCTTTTTGTTGGGTCTATTTCTGACAATCTGACCAGAGTGACGATGATATTTTAAAAATTATAGGGGATTTTTTTTTTTTTTGGACAGGGGGGGGGGGGGGGGGGGGGGGGGGGGGGAGGTAGTGTAAAGCAATCCCACTAATCCTAATGCAACACCAGTTATGGATAATTGCACACCTACTTCTCGAACTACCAAGAGTATATCATTTCGAAAGTTGCATAAGGAATCTTTGACATTCGAAACAAAAATCTAAATGGATTTTACCTTATAAAAGGTAACTTTGCACCTCACCTTAGAAGCACTCATTCTATTAAAAACTAAATGCTAACTGTTCACTGATTCAGTCAATATATTTGCATGAAATTCAACTGAATTTCTGCATATTCTATGTGCAAGAAGACACGATAACCATAGCACAATCTAGTTAGATGGCAGAATTAGCGTGAGATGACATTCATTGAGGCATATAAAATACATAACCTACATTTTGGAGCATAAATTCATCAAGAAAGCCTGGAGTAATATCAACTCAGCTATTTTTTTTTTTTATCAGCAATATCGATGCACATATTATTCTAGATGTACTTACTAAGAAACTAGCTGCCAACAAATGGCAATACATACCCTTCATTGTCCTGAGTACAGGACCTAGAATGAGGCTCGCAGTTCGCCACTTGAGGACTACCCCTCGACCGAAGCATCCTCTTATTTTGCTGAACTCCATAATTAAAAACTTCTCTTTCCATTTCTGTACCCCCATCAGCATCCACACATCCATCATCTGATTCTTTGTCATAGCACCGATTGCGCTTTTCGGGTCTCTCTCCTTCCATGTCAGCATCTCTTTCTTTCCTCCTATCTCTAGCTTCACTATCAACACTTTTCCAGCTATCATGGTTTTTCTGTTTCTTCTGCTCAAATGGTGAATCATCCTGCTCCAGAGCTCTGCCAGAAACATCCATCAATTCCTTTTCACCGTTAGAACCCTCTCTCTCAGCTCCATTCCATGTTTCTCTCTTGGTATGATCCTTTTCCAGGTCTTTCATTTTGTTTTTATCTTTTGAAATATCCTTCCGCTCCCTATCCCACAAGCCAACTTCTCTTTCTTCCATCACTAGGTCTTTGCCATCATTACTGCTATTACCTAGTTGCAAGTTGTTACGACGATCACTTCTTTCTTTATCCCTTTCACCCCATTCCCGGTGCTTCCCATCCTTCTTCTTCCTATCTTTGTCTTTGAACTTATCCTCCCCCTTGAAATTAACCTTGTTCTCGCCAACAGCCTCATGAGCTTCAACATGATCTCTCTCCTCATTACACGAGGCTTCCTTTACAATCTCAGCTTGACCATGGACATTAGAGCGCGACCTATGCCAGTGATCTACATTTCCACCAGGGGTATCAGGATACCTCTTTCCCCTGTAGTGTTCTTTCGATTCTTTCCAGTTCAAGTGACTATTTACTGTGCCATAACCTTCCTTATCCAGCTTCATTTCACCCTTATATTCAGTGTAAGTATCCCTGTCGTACTTGGCTTCTTTGGTATCATCCCCTCTACTCTCAAATCTTACATCTTTATCACCTTTACCACCTTGGGGCAATTCCCTTGATTCTTCCTTAATATCCCGGTTCTCAACCTTAAGCTCTTTGTTGTTGCCTTTGGAATCTCTTGATTCCAGCCTATTCTCTGAACTGGCAGGATGATCAGAGTGTGAGTCATTCTGAGAAGATGACATCCTGTACATTGGAGGAAGTAAGGGCGACCTTCTATCTGCATCGCGCAATTCAGTCCAGAGCATCTTGGACATCCGAGTATCCTGCCCTATTTCCATGGGGGTGTTATTTTGGTACTCATTAATGGCTGATGAAGCCGTTTTGGCACCAACTCCTGGGTACACATCTGAATCATCAGGGGTGTATTTCGTACTGGAAGAATGACTCCCACCCCCACCCTCCTCATGCAACCTTTTATTAGGAGTATTACTCATAGTGTTGCCAAGTATATTAGCAAATCAACTCCAAATTAAGTAACAACAGCACCACAATAGCAACATTCCCTGCTAATTCCTACCTGCAAAGAATACCTTGAAGTACAATTAATCCAAAGAATGCAGAATTATCTCTACTACCAAATTACTGCGACTGTATATGTAGTTATGTGCCACTTAAGAAGTACCGATAGAATTGAGGAAACCTATGTTCAAGTCCCCAGATTCCCGACCCAAATGTTATGTTTCTCCAATAAATAATTTTAATTAGCATTAAAGGGTTAGATTAATGAATCTATGCACAACGCCTAATGTAGGAAACACGCCTAAATTCCATCTGTTTGTAAAATCTAAAGGTTTGGTACAAAGAGAAAAAGTATCGGAAACAGTTCAAAGACAAGTTCAATTTCTTCCATTTGCTTCTTATAAAAAATGCTCCACAACAACAACAAAAAAAAAAACAAATCTTACTCAGAACTAAAAACACAAAAAAATAATCACAGAGATAAATTTTTGCAATCAAATCTACAACAACTAATAAACTTGAATTAGGGAAAGACGGAATCTTTATATATTCAATGACCAAACAATTTAAATCCGATTGTTCAGTTCTGGCCCCAAAACAAAATATTAAAGCTTGAGGTGATACATGCAGATCCGCAGAATGGAAACAAACACCCAAGTGAACAGAATAAGAAGAAAAAAGGAGGGAAAATGCAACAAGAACGGAACAAGAACCCAATTCCAAGTATACTCGGAACAATTTACATTACCTTGGGGGTGTATCGAGTGTCGATCTTTCTCTCTTGTTCGGCCGCTTGAGAAGCAATAATCATCGACACTCGCGCTTCGCGGTGTCTTATCTTATTATAAGCTGTAACCCCCGGCGGCCCGGCCCCTAGCTCCCAATCACAAGGGTTTTTTCAATATTTAATTGAATCTTAAGGGGACATTAGTGCAATTGAACAACCTTATGACCAGATCGCGCAGAGAGAGAGATCGCGCACAGATCTGTTACTTTAGATGAAAGTCTGCGATCAGACCTTCCAAGCCAGACCACACCAGATCGCGCTAAGAGAGAGAGAGAGAGAGAGTACCTGGGACTGAACGACGAAGGAGGAGCAGTGGAGTGGGGTGTGAGGCGCTCTCGGGACTCGGTAGAGGATTGGGGTTTTTTTTTAGTTTATTTATAGATATATATATAAATTAATTAATTAATATGGATAAAGTAGGATATGACCGAGTAAATTGATAATTATTTCGTATTCCTATCCGATTTAATCAGAAGACTAAAAACTCTTTTACATTTCTACCCGATTTTTGTTGCTAGTAAATAAGGTAGGGTAGAAAATTATGACTAATCGAAAATTTGAACACTCTTACCTCTAACGTCTGTTTGGTAAGGTGAATAAAAAAATAAAAAGATAAAAAATGAAAGTGATATATATATTTTATATCGTTCAAACGAGGAATCTTTCATTCTTTCTTTTGTTTTTGGTAAGAGAGATAAAAAGTAAGAAAGATTGATTTTTTTGTGTTTGGTAAAATGGGAAAAATATTTTTTAGTTTTTTATTTTTAAAAAAAATTAAAAAAAATATTTTCACATTATATTTATAAATGATATTTAAACAAATAACACATATTTCAACACACATAATTAACTTTCTATTTATTTTTCCTCGAAGATTAATTTTGATACATTAAAAAAAAAATCATTTATCCACTTTTTCATTCTTCATATTTTTCTTCTATATCAGAACTGACTTTTCATCCTTTTAACTTTTCTTTTTTCTATTTTTCCATTTACCAAATAAAACATAAAGTTGGCAAAAGACACCTTTTTTTTTGTTGTATTTCTAATTTATTATTAAACTACAGTAAAAGTAACTTCAGCCTCGGCCCAAAATATGGTACACTAACGGAGGGAATTAAATAACTGGGGTCAATATTTAACGTAGTTTCTCACGGGTTAAATGATATTGGGTCATAGTTGAGTTGAGTTGAGGGTGTTTCCAGTATTTAATCCTTCATTCTTCTCCTAGAAAATTTCACATGGTTCTAACGAAAATTGGAGTCATTAAAGGCGGTAATACAGGCCTCTTCTCCGTTTCCTCGTGCAGGCAATATTTAACATTTCTAATACGAATGGAGAAACACTTTCAAAATCTAATTTAATAATTCAAAATTATAAGAAATTAAAAAATTAAGAGGGAAGTCTCAATGCCTCTACGTATATATAGATAGATTGGAGAACCCAAAAAAACTAATATTTATTCCCCAAAAATTCTTGAATTTACCCTGCCGTTTTCACCAAAAAAGAAACAAACACCACATTTTTTTCCCCCTGAATGAAGAGGGTGAGGGCTTTTTCCCCACTGTTGCATGATCAGCAAGGGCTTATGCTGCTGAGAAAGAAGGGGAAATTTCTTTGAATTAAAAGCATGGAATTCTGCTTTGGTTGAAGTCTGGGCGGTTGGTTTTTCTGCTTGCACTGGTCTGTTTCTACAATCAATCTGGGCTGGTTAATGATTTGTTTCTGAGAGGATGTAATGCTGTGAAGCTGGGTTGCTACTATAGTCTGTGCTGTGTGCTGGTGTAGAGTTATTGAAGCTGGATTGGTGTAGATATGCTGGCATGTATGAAGAGTTGCTGTTTAACTGCAGTTTTTTTCTTCCAGCAGTTTCAGAAATGCAGCACTTGTATAGAAAATCTGTTTTGGTTTTGCTGTTTCTGTTATAAAACAGATTTTCTGTTTTTCTGTTAAAACAGTTACTGTTTGTTGATTCTTGTAATTTGAGAATTATTCAATAAAATTTCTCTTTTTTTTTAAAAAAAAAAAGGGCTTTTTCCCCACTGCAAAATCACTTACGAATGATCAATCAAGTCCAAAGCACTTAACAAAATTAGTTTAGTGTACACCGAAACAAAAAGGAAAAAAGTAACAAGGAAAAATATCCAAGTTCAGAACTGACCAGTTTAAATACTGAATTTAAGACAACTATTCCCACCAGGGCTAGCTAATTTGAGCAAAAACCCGGATAAATACCCTAAAGAGCCGCAGTAAAGTAGCCAAGAAGTTGCTTGTTGCAAGGCGGGTTCACTCTATACATTTCTAACAATGGTGCATTGCCACTATTCATCAGTTACGCATCCGTTTGAAGCTGATTGCACGTTCTTGATGTACTGGAAATGAAAAAGCTTAATCCATTAGTAAACACCTCAACCTGCATACATGTGTTTCGGGTTAGTTTAGTTTTCCACATACCTTGTATAGGACTCCTCGGTCAGCCTTATATGCAGGGGGGGTCCATCTCTTTCTCCGCTCCTCCAGCTCCTCATCTTCTAAATGGACATCCATTCTCCTCTTCCCAACATCAATGGTAATAATGTCTCCATTTTGAATAAGACCAATTGGTCCACCTTCCTGTAAACATTTGCATTGCACTATTCTAAGAACCATGAAAGCTCATAACATTTGCCTCATGACATGGTTTCTGATGCATTTTGTTTTAGAAATGGACTTCTAAATTCTGACATTTTGCCAAGTGTGACCGACAAATAACCAAAGGGGTAAGCGAATTGGAACACAGATGGTGGAATTGGCTGTACCGAAGGAGCCAATTCAATCTTTAGGCTTGTTATATAGCTAAGCCGATACTACGTTTCAGATCATTGGGATACCGGAAATTTGGAATGACTCAGCCCCATTTCAATACTATTTCTCAAACATAGAAAAGATTCAAGCTGGCAATTTTTCTATTACAAGTTAACCAGAATATATTCAAATACAAACAGGATGATTTGATGTTGGACTACCACACCAACCAACTTAAATTCAACTAGAGAGGAATAAACCATCTATTATCCAGGGCATATGTATCGTAGGACGAAATGTTAATATTGCAACTCATTTATTCCATTATCTATTATGACCTCAATCTTGCAATTACAATATGAAGACAGTAATTTGCTAATAATACAACTTCATTTTAACTCGCTTTGCTACATTACTACATACAAATATAATAAGTTCCCAGAATCACTGATGTGAGTGCATTTAGTTTTTTAGATAATTTTTTTTTTTTGAGTGTAGTTTCTTGGATAATTGACTTACTTGAATAATAATGGCTGTTAAATAAACTAATGGACCTTTATCATAACCACCCAACCATGCACAAAACCTTGATGACCTAATATAGAAACAAGCTTCACACTCTGGAGGAACAAGATTTCACACTACCAAAACACATATTCCATGCAAAGGACATTGCCACCCTCAATTTCCACCAACCAAATGTGCTGTTGCTAAGTCGGGTTTGGGCTTTTGGTCGCCCTTCTTTAGATACTCTTCAAGAAGGAAGTGAAAATTGAGGTCGCTAGGACACAAGATTCTCATGTTGCATGGCAACATACTTTCACGCTATACAAACCCACCACCACACATAGGCCAATGAGCTAGCGAGCAAGAGACAGAGAGACAATCTGAATCGACAAATATTCTTTCTAGTATAAATTAAGGTTTTTCTTATTAAAGAACATGAATTGTCACTTCCACATTGGACACCAATTTCAGTTTAGGGTTAATTACACTACTTGCACATAAGTTACACGTGATTCTCACTTTGGTCTCTTTTGAATTTTATTTTTTTTCTAATTTCATTCTCCAACTTTTGAGAAGTTTCATTTCAGTCCTGTAAACGTGCCAAAAACTTGATGGAAAATGTCACATGCCAATGCCACCATGAAAAATGACGTCATTGCATGATGAAATTGAAAAAACAAAGACTTAAGGATCAACGTGAAAATCAGTGTAAACTCTGAGGATGAAAAAGGTAACTAACCCTTTATTTTATAGCTTTCATGAGTGGAAAAAAGGAAGAAAAAATATGATTAGGATTCTTCATATAAACCAAAAATGAATTCTCTTGAAGTAAAATTCTTTGATTATAGATGTAGATGCATTCCTCTTAAAGTCTTAAGCAAGATTTTCCCATCATCCAACTACTTGAAGAAGTACAGATGATATTACGTTAGGTGCAAGATTTGGTCGAGACACTAATTTCTTGAAAATTTATGTAGTGATCTTATTTTTTAAATTTTCTGTGACTCAGAGGGCATGTTAACCCCTAAAACAAGTGTTTTATTTTTGGATTGTGTAAAACATATGTCAAATGTTAAGACCAAATTGTATAGTTAATTTGACCAAATAGCATTTTATGATTAGAATTAGTTTTCACGAAAAAATGAATGAAGATTTTGTCAGGCACTTGATAATTGTGTACATCGAAAGAGAATGACAAAGAAATATAGCTTGTCGTTAATGTATTATAGATAGTTTTTGAAACTTGAAAGATCATTGCATTTTGCGGAAAAAAGTTAGTTTATGTGGTTTTTACTCCTATTTCATTTAGAATAGATAGAAATTGGTTTTAATATCTCATATACTAGTTGAGGTTTAAATCTTAATATATTGTGTATTACTTCAACTTAATTTTTTTTCAGTTGATGTGTTTTTTAGTCATATTTAGTCCCCCCTAATACTGTATTCTGCCTCCACCCGTGCAAGTGTGTGTTTTTTTGGGACCCGGGGGGGGGGAGAGAATTTACTTAAAACAACTACTATAAATTCAAGACTACCAACTGAGCAAAAAGTTATTAGTTTTTGACTTGCAAGGATACAAAAGTTACCAATGGTTTTCAACAGCTGATGTAATTGTATCCTCAAGAAGCAGCTTTTATATATGGCGTTAAGCTTATTGGAGAATTTCTTATCAAAGGAAATCCTTTGTTTCTTATATTAGCTGGTAACAAGGTTATTCAAGTACCAAAAGAGAGGAGGAAGGAAGGAGGGGGGGATATCCCAATATGCAATACCAGAGATAACCATCGAACTAGAAAGGAGAATTCTTAATTTTTCATAATAAAAAAGAAGCTGCAACTAGATAATTAAAAAGAAAACACACCTGCGCTTCAGGGCATATGTGACCAACAACATATCCATGTGAACCTCCTGAAAACCTTCCATCAGTCAACAATGCAACATCCTGCAATGTTCAGAAGCGAGATGGAACAGTATGGTTACTTCGGGACAAAAGGAAACCAGCATTGCAACCTTAATAAATCTTGGCTTGCAAAGTCATGAAAAAAAGATAATATCACAACAAACATTTACTTATCAAAAAGTCAAGTTATAAACCAAAGAATACACAAAAACACAATTCAAACATAAGCATGACAGGACGAAATAATAATTATCAACAAAAACATAAATTTTGAATTGTTATACCTTCCCAAGACCAGCTCCCATTATTGCACTTGTTGGTGTCAGCATTTCAGGCATACCTGGTCCCCCCTTAGGACCCTCTCCCCTAATAACAACTACTTTTCCCTGCAATGTGATAATTATTTCTCAGATATGGAAATATCCCATTTGAAATCCATCAAAAGAAACTATTTTGAACACACACTCCACTACAACTATGGTTCAAGGTCACAATGTCTGTCCTCGACTCAGTCGGCATTAAGAGCATTGTTCGCTACATCGTGGACTGCTACCGCGCTATATGTGAAACCCGGGAAAAATTTTAACTTTTTCTGAAAAAAAAACGGAAAATGGTAATTTGCCATTATAGTGTG